CTGATTTGGCCGGATCGCGGGATTGTTGGTCGTTGGATAGTCACTTGTCGGAGAGGAGCGAGTCAGACTGTACGTGGGTTGTGGGATTTCGTTCGCTTAGGGCCCTATTTCGGGTGGGCACTAACCGCATCGGGTGTGCGTGCCAAGGCCGCTGGCTGCCCCAGGCATCATACCTGTCATTACCATCATTATTATTCTCTTCGGCTGGCCCTATCAACTGTGGATTTTGTTGTGTTTAAACTGAACAGCTACTCTTGTCTACTAATTCCGAACCCAAATCTCATGCGTAAATGCTTTCCCGACAAGTACTTTCTCTCCTTCTCCGTACCAACATGGACCCTTGCAGAGTTCTAACCCGGTTTCTTCTCCCACGATCCACTCTGCTCCAGAAGATATGGTCCGATTCTCTCTAGGCCAGTACTTTTCTTGAATTTTCTGGTTGATCTGTTCGACCTTGTCTACCAAGGCTGCAACGCGTTCACAATCGAACGCCGGTTCTCCATCCGCGCCCAACTTCTCAAGCTGAAATCCATCATGTGTGATGAACCTCGCAATCGTGATATGCGCAGAGGGTACTAGGTATCTAGGTCTCAGATGTACCCCCGTAGCTGCGACCCCAGCATACAAATCTCGTCGCAGGTGGTGATACGTATATTTGTCGTCGTCCGCGGAGCGACTCCATCGTGATTGCTCTCCAGCTGCAGGAACAAAGCTAAGGGCCATTGCTGCGGCGTCGAAGCTGACAATAGGCTTGACCAACCGTGCCCGGTGGTTGAAGGTGTAGTTGACCAAATCCGAAACCACACCACTCTTCTCTAGATGAGACACAAGAGTGTCGATCTCCAAAGAAGATCGGGAACTGGCTATCTCAAGGACCGTCGTATGTAGGAAGTCTGGTGGTGTAAGCCATATGTCTATCAAGGGTCAGTCACAGCTTCGAAGACAGAAGCTAGTTGATAGCTCACTTGGCACAACACCCTGAATTTCTTTCTGAATCTCAGCAATCAAGTCCTTTATATGCTGTGGTGGTCGTGCGTAAAAGTTGAGATTGTTTCTGTGATCAATGAAAGATGTCTTGCTCTCATGGCTGGGTATAGCCCTTTGTGCATGTAGCTTCTTCAGGATTTCGTCAACCTGCCATCCTGCGAAGTCCGGGCTGAGGAGATGGGCCTTGGACTTTGCGTTCCTTGTAGACCTGTGCGCTTCATATTGAGCTTGAATCTTAGCCTATTTGAGTCAACAACTACCTATTATTCCAGATGAGGCTATGGACATTTACCAGATCGCCTTGACACTTGGAGATCAGTTCGTCAAAGGGGTTTTGGCTTGGGTCTTGTGCCATATTGGAGAAAGTGTCTTGGTAATGTTGGTGTCAATGGTTGAAATTCAACGAGATCTAAGTATTGGTTCCTGCCAGCCAAAAATACCAAAATATATACCTGCTAGTGCATGCACAGCATCAAGTTCACAACTGGTTACTTGTGTAGTCATACGGTGTAGAGACCAGACAACTCCAACCCTGCCCGTGTAGCTTACACGATAATACATGGAGAATATCGTACATTGACATAGATCCCATGTCAAAAGGTTGTCCTTGAAACAGACTATCCAGCTACTAAAGAGATGTCCTGTTAGGCTACCTCTACAGCAAAAGTTCCCTTCTTTACTGCCCCACCGATAACCCCGCTACGGCGAAGGCTTCCGTCACCATCATCTCCGATCAACAACCGTCATCTCACTCCTGCTCGCCTCAATACAATTATCTTCGTTTTAGCGCGTTAGCAGCTACTCCTTGCTTTTATCTTCAAGACTTTTAGCCGCAGTTCACTGACTAAACCTGAAAATGTTGATTAAGTGAGTAAATCACTGCAAGCGACGGGCTGATCAATCGTGTTTGGCACTGGAGACCTGGCCTGAGCTAACCGATGATTTACTTTAGAGTCCGTACCCTTACTGGCAAGGAAATCGAACTGGACATCGAGTCTGATTACAAGGTACATACTCAGTTGTTGCATATTCCGCTTCCCTTTTGCTGTGGTCCCTGCCATCGTATGATTCCGCGTTGCCCGACAGCATCGTCGCGCCATGGACGGAACAAAAGAAGACCTGCAAACAACATACCGAAGGATTTTGCGAAGCATATACTGAGAGTTGTACCAGGTGTCCCGGATAAAGGAGCGCGTCGAAGAGAAGGAGGGTATTCCCCCCGTTCAACAACGACTGATTTTCGGCGGAAAGCAAATGTATGTCGTGTTACTATGTATGTGCTGGTGCAATAGGMTGACGGTGTTCGCATCTGAAGGGCCGACGACAAGACCGCTGCGGAATATAACCTAGAAGGTGGCGCGACGCTGCATCTTGTCCTTGCTCTGCGCGGTGGCTGCGACGCTTAATGGATTCCTGCAACACGGGTTGACGCCATGAAGATTTACGCGAATAGATTATGAGCTGGAGCTGTGGGACACGTTCGAAAGCGGGGAGAGCTCCAGGACGGCATACGAAGTTTCGCTCATACTATACCCGAGTCGTGTCGAGCAGGAGGAAGCAACTGAGATTTAGCTGTGACGAACGAAGCGGAAGAACACTTGATCCTCGACTGTCGCACACGGCCCCTGCACACCAGGCGCTGCATGATGTTTCTTTTTAAGCCCAGACGTCTTTCTACTGGCCATGTGAACGCATTAATGACAACATCATGGAAGAATGTACACATCAAGAGAAGGATGGCAATCCCTCGTTCACTCGCTCTGAAAGATGGATTAAGCTTTAAACTAGATCGTGTCATGCATCACGCTGTAGGAAAACTGTCCACGCTGTACCATATTTGCACCAATCCCGTCGCGTCCCATCCAAACTCCATACAGATACAATGGCTAATGCTGCGATGATCCAAAAATAATTACGTGAGGGAAATAAAGGAGCCGACCGATATTTGAGATGAAGGTATCCAAAAATCCGAAGCTATGTATAGTCCATAAGAAAGTCATCCCTGGTCCATGAACACGCGGCTGGTCGTCAATTGACCTTTTTCTTCCTTGGCTGGATGAACAGACTCGGTGCCGGTCTCTTCCGCATGACTGCGCGCGGCGGTGGAGCGGGAGGAACTCCTGAGTTGTCGGAGTCGGGAATCGCCTCCAGCAGAGCTGATTTGGCGCTCTCAGCAGTGGCCGTCTCATTCGTATCCTGTAATCGGCCCGCCGGAGGGGAATCGGACGATTCTTGAGTTGAGGATGAGGAGGGAGGATCCCGCAAGCTTTTGATTGCGGCAGTTGCTGATGCTCGGTATTGCACCGGAGCCGGAGCCGGCGAGTTCTCAGAAGACTTCGGGGACGATGAGCCCGTCTGCTTCCCCGAAGTCAGCGCTCGGAGCCTCGCTTCTCTTTCGCGCAATGACGCGCTAACAACGAAATTACCAGGGCCTCCGGAGGACCGAGTGCTCTGAAGCTTCGATCGCCCGGGTGCTACTAAAGTTGGAGGGCCGTTGCGCCGAGGAACAACCGGATCGGGCGGTCGCCGGTGCTCCTCAATCAGAGAAAGAGGAGCCTGTTTAACCTGACTGGCTCTGTTGTTTAGTTGCTTGGTCGGTACTGCCAGGACAGGGTTTCTCTTCGGCAGGTTAAAGATGTTGCTCTTCTTCTTCTCCGGCCGAGGAAGCTGTGGTCGCTCATACGACCAGACAGGTGCGCCCAGGGGATCAGACGAACCCAGCCCGCCCCTGGGAGAAGCAAATCTTGGCGTAAGACCTCCCATCTTCCTGTCGAACGAAGCATACCGTTGCTTCGTTGTTGGCCTTTCTCGAGGCAGCGGAATAACCCGTCGGTCAGTGACGAACTTAGCGCTATGTTTGGCACGCTCAGAGTTGATGCCATCGAGAGCCATCTTGAGCTTCTCTGCGTCCTCCTCCACTGCTTTTTGGACACGTTGCTGGAGATCGCAGTATATATCGTACCAGCAATCGGGCTGTTCGGGCAAATCGTACTCGTCCCATCTTGGTATATCCCTTTTAATGAAATCAAGCCACAGTTCGGCATCATCTTCCATGATATGCGGCGAAAGTAATTCTAGAGATCTCTAACATTGCGCAAGTGGTTGAGCGTCAGCGAATCGAACCAACAGTATGTAAACAGGAGCTACCACTCACGAGTTTCTCGGGGCTCTCGATTTTGAGAAGGAACGGACGAGCAAGCGTATAGGGGACATTGCCAATATCGTTCAAATCTAGAAATACTGTTAGACAATGTTCCAGTACGGGAGCAGTTTCACTTAAAACTGACATTTGACGTTCCTAATGGCAGTCGAGGTGCAAAGCTGTAAAAGCGATGGCGGCGGCATTATCCTGGATGTGATGGAAGGCTAGATAAGAGCAAAGATGATGGCATGAAGAAGGTAGAGAAAATGGAAGATCCGGAAGTATTGGACGAGGTAAAGATAAAAGGACGCCAAAGCATATACCCCAACCGCCAACAGTCAATCATTCCCATAATATTTATGTACTCAACTGAATATGAGATTTGGATGTGCAACTGTCGATGACAATGGCCGAAGGCGGATGATGTCTGTCACATGATCCTATTGGTCCGATATTGATTCACCACCAAGGATCTGCTGAAAATCGTCAATTGGCTATTATTGATTGAGAGCTAGTTTGTCTACTGGACAGTAACAGGTTGATGAACGTTGAGCGATGGTCCTTCCAATGACTTGGGATTCTTAATGTGATGATGGAGCTGTGGATATATTTGTGGAACTGCCACATGACTGGCTAATGCTCAATATATCACAAGATACTTTGAAGCAAGGTGGACAAGAGTTGCCTACTCAAGATGAATCCATATCTATTTAAAGGCTGCGAATGCATGATGCTATAAGAAAGGACAAAAATTCCGAGAACAAAGCAACGGCAGCGATGTGTGACCTTCTATAAAGCAACCCAATCTCCTTTGGCAAGCGGAAATCCCGTCAGTCTGACCACGTTCACCAAGTTTCTAGTCTGCTCACGACTAATTTTGCTGACCGGAGGGCATCTGAGCCAACCAAGTCGGCGGTGAAATGCCAGTCTGTTCATGGATTGTGCTGAAAAGCGGCGGAAGACTCTGCATAATGTCCCTGATTGGGCCCATCGTGTCATTGGAGCTGGACCCATTCCCTGGAGGGATGTTACAATGCCATTATCGCGGAGGAGGATGAAGCGGGTATTACTCACCAGTGTTCCATGTAGTGATCCTGGGTTTAAGATCTTGAATAGCGAGACCGTTTGCCTGAGCCAGCTTCTCGTAAGTGCCGGTCTCCAGCATCCTATACTGCAGGAAAGCCTGAGGCCACCGAGAACATCGACGAGCGCGCCATATGCTTTGGCCGTCTCTAGAATTCCTTCTGCCTCGCGCTTCTGCTGATAAAAAGCGGCGTCTGCGTCTTTGCTCTGGCGATAATCTGACATCATCAGTGCAAATGAAAAAGGCAGGGAAACGTAACTCCAAAAAACGTACAGGTCGCATCGGCTTCCATCTTTTGCCTGTAAAGCTGTGCATCTGCGGCTTTCTGTTTTGTATAGAAGGAAGCGTCTGCATTTTCTTGAGCAGATTCTCGTGCAACCTTGCTTTTCGTGACTTCCACGGCTCGTAGGCGTTCGAGCTCTGTTTCTGCACGCTTGGACTCAACCTGTTTCTGCAGCTCTGCGTCCCTTACTTCTGCTTGACGTTGGGCTGCAATTTTGGCAAGCCGAACGCTCTTATCTAGCTCGGTCTGACGGTTCATGAGCTCAGAGTCTGCCTTGGCCTTTTCGGCCTTCCGCTTCGCCTCCAAAACTGCAGTGTCGGCATCGATCTTCGAGATCTCCTGTTTCGCTCGTCCTTTCTTTTCGGCCTCACCGATTTCTCCCCTCATTCGTGCCTCAGCCACATCAATCTTGGCCTGATTGAGGGCTCCTTCATGAGCTTTACGGCTAAGGAAGGCGAAGTACTCGCTGCCTGGCGTATCCTGGAGCTCCTTCACGTTGGCGTTATAACTATAAGATGCATAAGCCAGCGTGCTAACAAGAACCCAATATGCCAAACGTACATTTTCAGTCCAAACTGTTCAAGCTCGCTCTGGACGTTTCGAATGACTGTTCAGTATCACGTCAGCAAGTTCAAGATTCGTACTCAATACCAAACACAGACCCTTTGTCTTGAAAACCTGTCTCTCCTTGAATATCTCTTCCATAGTCATGCTGGAGACGATTACGCGAGTCTCGCCTTCAATGATACCCTTGACAATGTCTTGGACATGATTTCGTCTTGTTGGGTTCGTCAGATCCTTGGCCTTAGCCAAATCTGCCTCGGAGGTGCTGCCAGACAGAAGCAACGCATATTTCTTTAGGGCCTCGGCTTCGTTGTCGGGGCCGATTGTAAAGACGGCGGGTAGCGAGAACTGCAGCTTTTCAGTAGTCATGGCTTGGAGGTTGAGGGAGAAGTCGAAAGGCGCGACAGAGATCCTCGCGCACTTGTTGTAGAACGAGAAGTCAGCTACTTCAACACCTTAACCGATGCTTGAGAAATACACACTCGCTGCCATGGCATGACAATGGCTTTCTTGCATATCCGTATATCGTCGATCCCAGCACCCGTAAGCACGAGATATTCGCTTGGTTGAGAGATCGCGTATCTGGAGAAAGATGATGAGCATCTCTGCTACGAGTGGGAACCGTCATTGCCACACACCGCATCTTGGGAGCCGTCTAGAGTCAAGAATATCAGGGAGATATAGAAAGTAGGGGAGATATGGGTGGCAAGCAAAGTTCAACTTGCGAAAAATACTGATATAATCAGAAATTCCTCGATATCGAGAAAGCATCTACGATATGGTCTTTGGCGGAGAATGCAGGCTTATATGCCCATGAAGGGTCTTCTAAGCTCTAACAGCTGTCCCAGTCAGCCCTGCCAGGCTTTTACTATAGGGCGCTCCAACAGCCGCTTGAGTCACAGTCGACGAAGTTTCAGCTCCATATGTTGACTTCATTACGGAAATCAGGCGCGAAAAGCCACAAGGTAGCCTCGTATGTGTTCCACGCTAGGCGCTGCCACACCTTGAAGAAAAAGATCTCAGTGAAGAGTACCAAAATACTATTCTATCATGGCGCCCTAAATCTTCTATAGGCTGTGTTTGTGGCTGATTCTCGTCGAACTCGCCTATCTTGACCTCGCTGTGGTCATGTGGATAAACAACGGATCGGGCAACGTCTTGGCCAAGTGCAGGAGGCTATGGCATCTGAACGCCTGCACGTGGGTAACAGAGCAGCTTCATCTGAATGTGCTTATTGGCAAAGATACAGTCTGTAGGTTCCAGCACTTGAGGCAGACTGAGCCTCCCCTAAGTGTTTATAGCGTGCCATCTCTTATGTCAAGCAGTTATGTTAGGTTAAGGGCTGATGACTCGAGTTCAGAGGCATCAATGCTACCAGAAGCAATTGCATTTTGATCTGCAGGTACATGGCGTTGCTTGCATGAAGCGTCATCTGGCTCTCACTGCAGACAGCTAATAATGTCGAAAGGTGATATCGCTCGGTCGTAGATATATACCACAAGCATCCCACGTGATTCCCCTTCAAACAAACACTGCAAACTAGCTGTTTTGATAGCATCATAGCGATGGAGGGGCATGGGAAGGCTACGATTACCTTGAATCACCTTCTATAGCTTAACAAAGTCCTATCGTTAGTTACTCCTTGAGCTGCGGGAGATCTATCTTCATCAAGCACAAATATCAGGCAGAAGGTATGTTGATCTCGTTCCCGATATTTGAATTCACCCCTCTGCGGAATTTCGAGCCATATATTTCAAGACCCTCGACGGCGGGCGCACCATTGCATCTTGGACTAGGCAAAGGGTCACAGCCTTTCAATGATTATATGCGCATTGTCTGCGGACAGATTCGCTGTAGCTCTTGCACATGTCGAGCACCCGGGAAGCAATTGGATTTTAAATATGTTACTTGCATGACATCATCTGAAATATCTTTGCCCGCCTATTTCAATAGAAGCTTTGGTTAGATGCTAGATTACTGACAAGTTATATAGACCAAATCGTCAATATGGCACCACGCTCTCAACTAGAAATTGCTACATCCTCTGTTGAACGTCTGGTGAAGGAAGAGGCGTCCTACCACCGCGAGCTCCAGCAACAGACGGAAAGAATCCAAAAGCTGGAGTCTCAGCAGGCTGGCGAGGACGAGAACCGAGAATACATGCTGAAGCAGGAGGTGGGTCTCACCAGAGTAAAGACATCTCCTGGATTCTGACAGTCATGCAGCGCCTTGCACTTGAAGAGACCAAGAAGGTTTTGCCCAGTTTGAAGCAAAAGATCGATGAGGCAGTAGCGAAGCTCGAGAGCCTTCTGGTGAGTCGTGTATGTGATTGCGGCAGTCTGGCTATTACTGACATCCGACAGGCCGAGGAGGGAAAGAAAGGCCCCGAGAGCAATGTAGAGCAGATCACTGCTGGCAAGGAGGCCATCGCAAAGGCCAAGACGGCCAAAAGGGAAATCGCCTAGATGCGATGAGTACGAATTCTCGCAATGCAGTGGTTTTCGAGATTGTGCTGCCTCCATCAGGCAGGACTAAACTGACCAGTCGAGAGACAAATATGGTGTATAATAAGACAATTTTGACGAAAACATGAACGCTTCCAGCCTAACTCCATGCTACATGAATCCCAACTTAGTTTTAGACTCACGTAGTGTCCATTCTGTCAGCAGTTCGATCATCCGGTTCAGCCTCTCCTTCTTCCAATTCGTCGGGCCGCTCTGACCCCTCCTCTCCGGTCACTTCACCTTCATCCATGTTGGTATCCTCTTGGTCAGCGGTGGATACATGTCGCAAGGGAGACGCTGCCCCTGTTGTCGCAGACGTTCTCTCTGCGTGCAAACCAGCTGAAGATCGACCCGCCTCATCCTGGCTATGCTGAGAGGGAGTCACAGTCTCTGACTCCGGTCGAGGTGTATTGGCTCCGCTAGATTTGCCTTTCGAAGGAACGTCCCCTTCATCTCCGTCTTCGCCTTCTTGCATGCCTTCTCTGCGCTCCACCTCCTCCTTCTCATCGCGAATGAGACGCCGAAGTTGCATGCCCTCTTCTACAATGCGGCCAAACTGTTCCCGCCGCTCGGCCCATGTCTTGGCATATTCCTTGCTTTCATTCTCGAGATCCGCAATTTCTGCTTGGAGCTTCTGTAGGTTCGTCTGCTGATCTTCGCGTGGCTTTAGAAGCCTGTTGCTTGTGATCTTCTCGGCCAGATCATCATAGCTTTTCCGTAATGCTAGTAATCGTTGAGCTTCCTCAAGTTGCACCCGTAGGTCTGCCGTGTTTTCGCGAACGGCCTGCATTGTGGACAAAATCCGAAGCTTTTCGGCGGCATACCGCTCGCGTTCTCGCTCGTTGCTCGTAAGGAGAAATTGAATGCGTGCGATACTGCCTTCAAACGAAGCAAAATCTAGAATCACGTCCTCTCGGAAATTGCGCCATTCATCCAGCCTTTTCTGTTTCTCAGCTTCTGCTGCTGTTGTAGCGGTCTCGTCTGTTTCGTCAGGCGGCGGGGTAGGAAGGATTGTCGCATTGGAAATCACGAGGGAAGTTGGATTAAGGAGTCGTTTTGATATACGCTTGAAGGGTTTCTCTTCGACATTCAAAAGGCGTAACTTGTGTAGGTTATCTGGATGCGAAATTTAGTGTGGAAGGAAATGAGGTTGAAGAACGATGACACCAACCTTCCTCCGGTTGATCAAGCAAGCCGTACGATGCCATCCTGTTAGATCTTGTAATGGAGAGCTGTGATCAGTATTGAATGCAGCAAATTAACCACAACCGAAGAGTGTCCCGCTCGTCGCTATGAAGGTGTTACAGGAAAGGCCGATGTGAGCGGTCGGAGAAGCAGCTAAAAGCGGCACAGCTTGACCTTTCGGCATGCGCCCGATGTTGTGGTTCACAACCGTCTCCTTATCGGCATTTTTCAGACTACCCCAGAGGTACTTCTGGGCAAAAGCAACGGCTTACCAGTGCTCTTCTTGCGCGTACTATCCCAGATCACTATCCCATCGCAGTAATGCCAAATTCTACATGTGTTATTTTCTTGGTCAAGCATACAAGCTCCCAGTGATCGGCCAAAGAGGCGTGTCTTCGTGTGGGGACAATGCTCAGCTCAGTTGGTATGGCCTTCCAGAAAGCGCTTGGCCTTCACGACGTCCAGATGAACCACTGATGGAATACGACACGTGCGACCACACTCCTGTCCCGGCTGTACGGTGTAATCGACCGCTGTCATGACGGAGATGTACTCGGGGCTCCATGTGGGCCAACAATTCGTCTCGCTGGAAGAGTTCAAGTCAGTTGTGCGCAGCATATCAGTCAGACAGCATTGGGAACTTCGCGTGACTCGGAGCAACAAGAAAAGCGTTGTCATAGGCTGTCGATCGTCTGCCAATTGCTACTTCCGCGTTGTCTGTCGTGCAAACAAAAACGAGACCTACATTACGAGCCTTCAAGATAGCCATAGCTGTCGACGCCATGCGGCATCCCCAGGAACAACTCCGGCCCGGTCCGAGGCTTCGCATGTGCGGTTCTTACTGAACGAGATACCAAAGTTGTTTGACCTGAGTCACAAGATCAAGGGACAAGATGTTGTGGATGCGGTCAAGCGGTATCATGGATATGACATATCCATAAGGCAAGCGCACCGAGCGCTCACCAAATTACAACCCAGGCTACCACATCACCATAATGAAGAAACACGGGGTCGCGGTTTGAACGGGGATGACCATCCAGGCCCCCAAGTTCACGCGACGCCGTCGGTCAATGGCTCAATTTACAGTGCCATCTCCGAGCAAAGATGGATTCCCGACAATGTTCATCAGCCGGGATTCCTGGAAAAGCGACCCATCGAGCTGTCCGATGACCCGAGTAGTGGATCTCCGCAACCGGCAGAGCTTACTCGCGATGCTGTGCAGCCACAGCTTCCATCACAACGTTCGCAACCAGTGCATGGTTCATCCCAAGTACAACTTCCACCCGGGGCACAACCGCAGGAGCAGATTGCGCTCAACGATGGGTTGCGCACGACTGATGAGCAGCAGTCAGATTACATACTATCGGCACCTACAGTACTGTCTGCACCACAACCGGGGCCGTCTCAATCTCCCCAAGAGCCACGCAATAGTGGACATCCTTCTGCGCCACAGATGATATTGACCAACTTCAAGATCGAGTTCACCTGTACTGCTTGTGGAGCTTTGAATCAAAGCTTTATCCCAAATCAGGGGAATTTGACTGCTGGGGCGTACTTGCCTTCAAATAACGTAACCAACCAGGGCACTGCCGGCAGAACTACAAGTTCTTCAATGCAGGCAGGTGCCAGCGGTGTTGAACGTGTGGCCCAGACTAATGAATATGTGGAAGCTCCTTCAGTCAACGCACGAGGCATACAGCCGCTATGGCAGCCGGGGAGCCTCCCGGTTTCAATTCCACCCACACATACATGACCATGTCTGGGAAAATCTACCTGACTGCCAAAAACTATAATCCTCATCCAAGAAGATTCTCGGACCGTACAGCTCTCTGTGTGCGTACACACATCTCCCTGAATCGGGGCGTCAAAGTTGACACACTGACCTCGAAATTGTCACGAACTTACGATCTATGCCGGCCAGATCTGGACCTAAGAGAATCCAGACATTCTGTTT